TCTACCCTTAGACTTAAAGAACAACTCTGGGCAGTGGGGCTCGCAGTGGGACTACCCCTGTACCGCAAGGGTTAAGTGCTCGTATTGATCTAGGGTCTAAATTTAAAAAAAGATTTACACACCCAAACCTTGATCCTGCCTGGTTGTTAGACCATTCCCTGCAGCCTCTCTCCCTCCGCTTATATTGGTGAAATGTCCCTCGGACTCCTCAAGTCTAATACATATAATGTATTAGACGTGATGACTCAAGGGTCATTAGACTGTCAGAACAGAGGGGGAGAGAGGCTATGGGGACTCAGTGTAGCAGCCAAGCAGGATCAAGGATCGGGTGATCCTATAAAGACATTTTTACTGAGAGGTGTGCAAGCAGGTTGGTAAAATCTTATAAAAATCACTAGTTACAAAAGTGAAATTAAGTCAGTGAAGAGGGTTTTGTTTTTTTTTTATATAATAAAGATATCAGTTTTTAGTTTTAAATTGCTAAAGTGGCTGACAGGGCCACTTTAAGTAAAGCTTGAAATCCAGCATCAATCCCAGGCTCTTCACTAGATGTTGTATCTTGAGCCGACTGTCCAGTGGATTTAGCAGTTTAGGCTTCCTCCCTCTGTACCATCCGGCCATGGCGTTCCTTAACCCTGGAAGTCACTGTGGTTTGTAGTGCTGCACTAAATAGTTTAAAGTAATGCTGCATATACTATACAACAACTGCTATTATATATCTTCATTTATTGCAGGTAAAGGGTTTCTTTAAGAATAGTTATAGTTTCAGGAAAGCAGGCCCTAAACATGTAATTGTGAATCAAATATCGTGCTAAACCATTAACAGTCCATATAACAAAGAAGTGCACTTGCATAGAATTGACTAATTAAAAAGAATTGGTAATTGACAAAAAAGAAATGTGCTCTGTCTACTAATGTGGACGAAGTGCAATCTAAATTAGGACAGACTATTGCATTAAGTTGGAATTAGCTATCTTTAATTCCCTAAAAACCTGACAGATCCGGCCTTATTTTACATTCAGTTCTTTTCCTAAACACATCACCTTTTATAAATTTATGCATTAAGCGATTAAAGCAGTAGAGGAACAGAGTACCTTAATTCAGAAAACATCTTCGTTCATCATTTCCTCCTGCATTTAAGTTTCAATTACAGTTGAAAAATGCAAAATGCTATGTGAAAATATCATTACTGTGAGCTATAGCTATACACAGTCAAGGTAAATCAAGTCTATAGCTTTTTGTTTCAAGAATCCATTCCTCTGGCACCTTCTCAATCCATCTAGCGAGATTTATATGCAAGATAGGAAATGCAAGGAAGAGAGATTGGTCCTTATAATCTACTTCAAAGCACTGGAAACTGAACCTTTTTATCAGCTTGACTACATCTAAATTAACTAAGCAGCAACAATCTTGCTCACAAAATAAGTGTAAGATTTGTTTGCATAACACAAAGCATAAGTAAACCTTCCAAGCACAAAAAAACTTCTGTTAGTTTACAAATGAACTAATCAAACATGGCATTAATCAGCATTCTAAGTAGTGCAATGTGTAGGTGTTCTGTCTTAGAAAGAAACACTTTAAATAGAATTATGCACAATGTCAAACTTAAACTAAAGCTGGCCATACACCAATAGAATTTAATTTGAATATTTTTGTTTTTGGAGCATTTGTTTGATTTTCTAATGGTTTTGGGGGTCTAATCAACATAAGTTTTACCGTAGTGACAAGGAAAGTCGAAGGAAAAACGGAAAACTTTCTTTTTTCTTTTCTAAACAACAGAAATTCTAACAATGAATGTGATATTTGTTTGGAAAAAAAATCATGCATATTGTAATGCGTATGTGCCAAGCACACAACAAAACATGTTTAATATGTCTGGGATTCCATTCAGGTAGCTGGTCAGGACAAGATTGTTAAGGTTCAAGTGATGGCAAGATCGAATGCTCTGATGAACGATTTCGAACAAATGTTGGAACAAAATTCTAACAGTGTAAGTTGTTATCAGAGTCAGATTTCTTCTGTTTCTTCCTTGTTCTGCCGTACAACAGGTAAGTGACTTAAAGGATAACTGTAATAAAAGTACAGTTATATCTTTTTGTACTATATAACTGGAAAAATAGATCACAGACTACTAGAAAAAAACAGCCTCTTCAAAGGTTACCTAAGCACTACCAACCCTGTCATGCCAAGTAATTCCAGAAAGCTTATTGTGGAATGCACAATGCATTCTAGAGGAATTGTGTTGCCTTGCTTGTTCTTAATATCAGTCATGTTGTGACTGATGTGAATGTGCAACTATGTAAAGCGCTGCGTAAATTGTCGGCACTATATAAATACCTGTGATAATTAAATGTTGTACTCTGCACATTTTGGTGCAGACTGCAGCCAGGATAACATTAAACAATGCAAAGTTAACAGTGGTCAGGGCTTACAGGGAAAGCAAAGGCAGAAGTAAGAGGTTATATTTGTAAATTTGCTTGTTGTCTCTGATTAAATGTTGTTAAAGTAATAAACCAAGGCAATGTGCAACATTCAGTAACCCATAACAATCACCTTTTATTATTCTGACCCCATGAAAGTGATTGGGTATTATGAGTTTATGTGCTACTATTTTTGACAGCATGATGATTGGGCAGCAAGCTGGCTTAGTGGTTAGCACTTCGAACGTGTAGTACTCGGGTCCCTGGTTTGAGTCCTGACCAGTACACTAAATTGAGTTTTTACGTTCTCCCTCTGCCTGTGAGGGTTTCTTCCCACTCTCCAAAGACATGCTGGTAGGTTAACTGGCCCTAGTGTGTATGCATGTGAGATTCAGACCATAGCTTGTAAGCTTCTTCAGGGCAGGAATTGATGTGAATGTGCACTATATGGATAATCCACCAGCAAACCAACTGTGATACGTATTTGTCCTTTACTGACACAAGTAGAACATATCACAAAGATATATCACAGTTGGTGTGCCGGTAGCTTCTCTATAATTTGCTGAAATTGTGGTGCCATTCGCTTGTCACTGCTACCCCCACCTCAAAGGGATCTACTGGTCAAGAGTGCGATGGGACGCATGCAGGAGTGTACAGTATGTGAAGCACTGCATAAAATGACAGTGCTACATAATCTAGAAAAATGTTCCCTGGTTGGAATGGCTTAGCACATTATTAAACAGTTAAACCTTCTTAAAATTAGTATGTGTATGCACTTGCATATTTCCTGCTTATTTTATTTTACTGTGCTTTGTTCATTAGAGTGTGTAAAAAGCTCATTATGAAAATAAGGCTGTATATTTTCACATCCGACCAAATGTTTTCCTGAGTAAAATGAAAAGACAAAATTACTGAAAGAAAACAGAACTGTGCTGCAATTGAAGAGTTGCAAATATATATGTTAATGCTAAGTTAATATATCAACTAAAAGTCTTTACTATACTTTAATATTTATTTTACATGGAACCCATTTCACAGCTTCTAAAATAAAGTGATCCTGCTTCCAAAACAATCTATAAGGAAGAAGATCATTGGCTGCAATAGGACAAGAAAGCTATTTTCAGGCACTTTATTAATACATGTGAGCTAGCCCTATATATTAACATAGCTGCAATCATTCAGAAATGACCAACGCATTATAAATATCTCTGGCATATGTTCTTCACTGTTCAGTATACTACACAAACACGGTCTTAAAACAGCACACAAAACAAGAAAGCAGATGGGAAAACTATTCTAAGAAAAAAAAAAAGAAAAACATTCAGTTCAGCCTTGTCTTTTTGACAAGGTTATGATGTCTGTTAATTAAAAAAAGATCTGCCCTATAAAATATATATTTAGTGTATACTAAGTAGGACCTTGAACCAGTTCCTGTGAATTTAGTATTTGCCTTTCTACATAGTGTCTAGGGCACTTTATAGGACTGTAATAGAAAAATGCACATGATGTTGCTGTGGAAGAGCTTTTTAATTAACATGGTTGTTGATCACTATAGAGAAAGTAAACTGGTTGCAAAAGAGAAAGGCTTAAGGGCCTGCATCAACGGCTTTTCTTTGCTTCAAGTGGGTTCTGCATTCCCAGACAAAATATATAGGAATGCAAAAACAGCTTCAAGCAGGTCAAAGGCACCTGTCAAGGAATTCTGAATAATCTCAGAAGTGTCTCAAACTGATGTAATCGACACAGGGCCTTACTTGGCTTCCAACTTGAGCCATTTAAAATTAAGCTGCCTTCAATGTTCTCTCCACTGCTAAGCTAATAGATTCAGGTAAGATCTATAATGGTGACACTCAACTGGTGGCACAGAGGCAGCATGCATCCCCCTGACCTATACTTAATGCCTTTCTGGGCTACAGTTGCATCCCTACCATCTTACTCTTTAATTCTTGGACACAAGCAAGGTCTTAGTAGAAAATCTATATTGCATTGTATTTTTTCTTGTCAATCACTGCAAATGAGTATGGTCTGATATTACAGTTGCTATCATCTTATCACTCGGTATTGATATTACTATAGTTCATAAATATATCACATTTGTTTTAGAATTTCATCACTACATCCATGTTTAGTTCTTAGAACTGGCATAGTAGCATACATATTTTTAGTTTCATAAATTATATAAGTAAATAAAAAGTGAACTCTACAGAACTTTGGAGAAACTAAGGGACTACACGAAGACCTCAAAACATCATGTTCCCCAGCACTGGCTTATTGCTTTAGATGACTGGCAGGTCTTTTTAGGAGCATTTCAGGTGACATAATTCAAATTAGGTCCAGAATGTAACAATATGGATTATTAATGACCTGGAGGGCAATCATACCAAAAAGAATTGTACAGAATTCTTATCCATATTTTAAATACTGCCCAGAGCAAACTGCAGGAAAAAATGCACTGTTGCTTATTACAAATATGAAAGAGTTTCATCATGAACTGGAAAAAATATAAACTGAAGGTCTTTGCAATTACACATATACATCATTTAGCCTATATAATGTACAGGGTTATGCTGTTAACCTTACCATTTAGTAGAGGCTGCCCTTCTCGTACGCTTCTGGGGACGCTAGCGTGATAAACATCCTCAAGAAATCCTGTCTTGCATAATCTGGATCCCACTAGTGCTTCGGCTGGTCCCTGAAATGTAACAGAATATGTCTGTTATACACAAAAGCAATGTTTCCAGCAGACATTTCACTTGTCATAAAACCTTTATCCCTGCAACCCTGTAAAAACGGTTTTCCTTGGTACTAAAAGGTTTACAATTAGAAATATAAGGGCAAAGGGTTAAACTTTTTGATAACTGGAATGGAAGAAACAAATCCCACTTGTCTAGTAAGATCTAAACACTAAACAATCTCGCTTCTTTTAACAATTGAACTTAGCAGTCGTTGAGCCTTAAGTGGAATCATAAGGGAAAACAAAAAACATTCTTCCACAGGAGATATAGTTAGCAAGGGCCATTTCACCATACTTAACTTACTTCCAGACAAGGCTTCTCAAAATGTCAAGCCTCAACCAAGCACTCTGAACATGCACTCTGCCTTCTCAAAAAAAGGTAACGAACGAGAGAACTCAAGTCAACTTGACAATCATTATAAAGTGACCTCTGTTCAGGGTTAAAAATGACAAGAAAACTTGTCCTATCAGGTTATGCCTCCTCAGTATTAATATGAAAAGGAAGAGTAACTGCGCTAAAGGTTAAAGTAGTATTAAACTCTAAAACTTTTTTTCAATAACAAATCCAGATTAAAAAAATATACATTCCTCCGCAATGTATTTCTTAAAATTTTTGAGCAACGCTTAAAATCATCATGATTCTGAACAGCTGACTCCAACTCTCTCAACTCAGCTTTCCTGAACTAAGTGTTTTTCCCCATAGTTCTCTTTAGGGTCACGGGGGGACATTTTTAGACTGTAAGCCCTCACGGGCAGGGCCCTCCTTACCATCTTGTCTTAAATTGTATTGTGACTGTAATGTCTTCCTTATATTGTAAAGCGCTGTGCAAACTATTGGAGCTATATAAATCCTGTATAATAATAATAATAATATACTAACCTCCTCCCATGACCCAAAGCTCAATATATCGCGAGCTACAGCTCGCGGTATACTGAGACTGCCGCAGCCGGGACGGATCCTGACATTACTGTCGAGATCCACCCAGCTGCGTGAGTGACAGCGGGCTCGACTTATCTAGAGGCAGAGCCATCTGTACCCGCCCCGTCCGTTCCCCCAGTCAGCTCTGGAGGATCGTAGCAGTCACGGCTCTCTGCAGGGACATGATCGAGAAGTGAGCGAGCGACTGTATGTGTTCGTTCACTTCCCCATCTATTGAGCCAACGTGTGACAGTTTCATTGTCACACGTCGGCTCGAACTATGAGGATGAGTGATTTTCACTCAACTCATAGTTCTCCTTTAAATAATATTTAACTGATCTCAGGGCATCTCTAGCCATGTTTCTTTGGCACTATGGGGAAAAATGTAATGTAGGTGCCTTTGTATTGCTAATAATCAGAAATCTGTGCGGTTATCACTCATACCTTTCTAAAGCACAAATACACAAGAAAACGATTGAAAGAAGATTGGCCTTGAAATAGGGGTTGTGAAAACAGCAAAGAAAAGAAAAAGCATTTGATGGTTATTTTGTCATTGGATAAACAATACAGAACAAAAAGGGTTGTGTGTGTCGCGCAAAGAGCTTAAAATCCATAGAAACACAGCTAAAGGCATTGCCAATAAAAATGTAATTCAAGATATGACACCCATATGACAAAAAGCTAGCAATTTACTACAGATGATTTTATGTACAAATAAATAAGTATGGCCTTGCTCAATGAAGAACAAAATGTTACATATTTAAAGAATTCCAAGTTATTTATCAGTGAAATAAGCCGGAGATATGACAACATTGCTTTTGCTTCTCCAATCAAATGGTTGTGCCTGGTTTTTGTCATAGAAGGAATGTAGGTAATACAGCTGAGACTTTCCAGTGAACCAGACAGGAAGCTCAGATGGACAGCCGTGTTTTGACAATGACTGTAATCACCCAATCGCTGTCAGTTCATTTCAAAACAAAGTCCTGGATGTGGACCATAAATTGAAGAAAACTTCCTATGAGCCTCCTCTATAGGCTTTTATTATTTTTCTTTATGTTATTATATGTCAATTTATTTCTTTATGTTATTATGTTTCAATGCCTCATTATAATAAACAATAGTTTCCTCCACTTACACTATTAAATACACCTGTCTAATATGAATTATGTTAAAGTGACACTAAAGTCAGAAGTTAAATCTTAAAAATGCATACTAGTACTCTAACTATTAACAATACTGCACCTTATTTGTGTATCACTGGGCTGTAGATGCTCAAATCCTCTCTGGAGGGTGGCTATTTTTGCACCCTATTGGTCCCTGTGTTTTTGTAAAGAAGCCACAGCTCTAACCTCGCTACCTTGATGGACTACAATCTCAATATAAAATAGTAAACTAAATGTAAAATCATAGTCCGTCACGGGAGTGAGCTTGGAGTGGTAGCTACTTTACAACAAGCCACCTTAATAGTCAATCAGTATAATGCATATGATAAAATATTTCAATATTGCTTATTTGACAAAAAATGCATTTTTACACTGCTACCTTTATTATATATATATATATATAATACATATATACAGTATATGTTGCAATAACTGTAATTTTCTGAAACAATAGCCAATGAGCACTATAAAAATAACAATCACATGGCTGAAGATAATCATTATGGCAAACAACATGTTACAGTTATTAGTAGATAAGGTTTTTAAAGCTCAACACCAGACAAAAATTGTTTTCAGTTTAGAGTAAGTAGAGGAAGAATAAGAATAAGAATGCCTGTACTGCCTAACACTAGTCTGCTGCACAGGAAGAGAAGTAAAATTTCCGAATGGGGACATATATGGCAATAAAAATCTGACATGGTTTTAACCCTTTAAAATTCTATTTACATCAAATGTTTTTTTTGTTGGTTTTTTATGTCTTTGTAAGGTGAATTCCTAGCTTATTTCCTATGTTATTTAACATTTAAATAAGGGCTAGGCAAAATGAATAAAACTGTTTGTTGTAGAAATATATAAGTAAAAATAAAACATGTCCAATAGTAGAGAAAGAAAAAATGCAAATGCTCAAAATACTGTATTAAGTGTATAGTCACAAGGTGAAGGCACATTTTAATTTTGCTAAATAATTTTTCATATAAGAATGACCCATAGCAGCACTGCCTTTAGATGAAGACCTAATATGGTCCTTCCTGGTAAACACAAACATTATGCAATCATTTATGTAATCACTTGTCAGTATATTACATAAAACCACTATATACAGTGATTTCCACTATGCATTAGATCTACAAACCATTCTAACAAATAGGAGACCTATTCTTCAAAATGATGCCTTAAGGTCACTAGAGGCCATTATCAGAGCAAGGTTCTCTACGAAAGATTCTAAAAGACTGTGTATTATGTTTCTCTCCACTATGCAATATAATACAGTACTATCAGGTGCCTTGAGCATAGTATTCGTTTTAAATGCAACACAAATCACTTTGCCATCTTTGTTTCAGGGCACTTTCTTGCTGTCTGGGTATTAGCTGTGGATCTGACCGAATGCAGTGAGGAAAACACAGAAATAATATTAATCTTCTTACAATCTTTTTTCACCAATCAAAGGAATAAATAAAAGTGTTGGTGTTACATTACTAAAAAATCTAGGCTTAAGAACAAGAAAAAAACAGGCTTCTTTACCGAACATGCCCAAAAAACACAATTGTGTCTGTGCTCCCATTTAACAGGTTAAAGCACAAAAAAGCCAAATAATTAGTTAGAGGGAACAAGCTGAGCTTGATGCAGGCTTGCCTCCTCACTGCCAAAGTGGATTTGAGAAGCTCTAGTGGTTGGCTTCCCTACTGGGAATGCATCAAAGGATTGGGATCATGGTGATTAAATTCCACCTGGGAGGAATTTGAGGCCCCACTACACAGAACAAATGCTAGCAATAAGACAAAAGACAGCAATATTTCTAAATTGAAGAAGTAGCAGGCTATAGCAGGGATAATATTGGATTAATGTGAAAAGAATGTACATGTACAATAATAAAAAGACTGTAGAAGCCATATCCCAAGCTTACAGTAAATGTATCTACTCTACATACAATATAATAAAATTGTTCTGCAAGTTCTATCGTCAGGGCCCATAAAGCTGATACAATGCAGTCAGGTGTTGGTCTTCACTACCAGTTACCAAGATATGTTGATAAAATTATATTTTGTTTCTGCTTTAAGCTGGGTACACTTATATAAGTCTCCATGAGGCACCCTGCCTAAAACAAGACTATAATTTGTAGTAACTGTAGTTGATTATCTTCCATCTGCCTATATGGTAATCTGACAGATTAATAGTATTAGCCATCATCATCATTATAATTAACTATAAAGCAAAGCTCAATTAAAATATAGAACCATGTGTGATATTAGTCACTACAAATAGTTTTTTGAGCAAACAAGAAATACATTGTAAATTAACAGGTAATACATGTGTTGTGCCTATGATAGGTAGGGAAGAATACAAAAATAATGTTAAATGAGTTAGTCTCATCTAAAAACCACTATTAGAATTAAAGGATACACAGAAGTTGACCCTCATTATCAATAGAATGAAAATAAGGATTTCCGTAAACAGCTTGTTATGTTCCGAAATGCGTTGACCCAATACAATTCTTCGGTGAGGATCATGCCATTGAGGGGTACCCTAGGGGCTAATAACAGGCAAAAGGCCTCATTAACACATGTGGAGATTTTCTGGCTATTTGGAAGATCACCGTGCAACGTTGTTAAATTACCCCCCTTCTCTATAGGAAGAGGGAAGGAAGGTGTTACCTTTGTGTGCACTGCTTCTATCTGTCAGAAAGAATTATCACAGAGAACTGACATTGTTTTTCAGAGCACAACCACAGAAGCCACAGGACCTTGGGATCATATAGTTTTATGGCAAAATATTTTCACTGTATAACCATTTTTGTGCCTCTTAAACAAAAGTTATTTGAAGCCAACTAAACACAATCATTGTGAATTTAGGCAATTGGCCACAAGAACAATGGCTCT